CCATCTTTTAATTGGGTTTTCTTGTCTTGATTCACTGTTTTTTGAGTTCATTTAGATATATTCTGGATGTTAAACGTCTGTCAGATGTGTCACTGGTGAATATTTTCTCCCATTCTGTGCATTTTCTCTTCACTTCCCTGGTTGCCTCCTTTGAGATACAGAAGTTTTTTAGTTTAATGAGGTGCCATTTGTTTATTCTTGACCTTGTTTCCTGAGCAATTGATGTACGGTTTAGAAAATCTTTTCTGCACGTATATCTTGTAGGTTATTGTCAATGTTTTCTCCCACCAGTTTCAGAGTTTCAGGCTTTACAATGAGGTCTTTGATCCATTTTGCCATTTGTTAATTCTTGACCTTGTTTCCTGAGCAATTGATGTCCGGTTTAGAAAATCCTTTCCTAAACCTATATCTTGTAGGTTTTTGCGAATGTTTTCTTTTAACAGTTTCTGAGTTTCAGGCTTTACATTGAGGTCTTTGATCCATTTGGAATTGACTTTTGTGCAACGTGAAAGACAAGGGTTTAGTTTCATTCTTCTACAGGTGGAGATACAGTTTGGCCAGCACCATTTGCTGAACATGCTGTTTTTCCTCCAGTGAATGTTCTTGTCTCCTTTGTCAAATATCAGGTGGCTGAAATTGCATGTACTAATATTTCTGTCTTCGATTTTGTTCCATTCATCTATAGGTCTATTTTTGTACCAGCACCATGTTGTTTTCAATTACTCCAGCTCTGTAATACAGCTTAAAAGCTGGTATAGTAATCCCCCAAGGTTGCTCTTAGTGCTCAGTGTTGTTTTCACTATCCGAGGTCTTTTGTGCTTCCATATGAATCTTAGGATGCTTATTTACAATTCCTTGAAAAATGTTATGGGTATTTTGATTGGCATTGCATTGAATCTATAAATGGCTTTTGGTAGGATGGTCATTTTCACAATATTAATTCTTCCAATCCATGAGCATGAGACGTCCTTTCATCTTCTGATGTCTTCCTCAATCTCTTTTTTTAATGATTTAAAATTTTCATTATAGAGCTCTTTTACGTCTTTGGTCAGGTTTATTCCAAGATATTTTATTTTTTTCAGCTATTGTGATAGGGAGTGTTTCCATGTACTCTTTCTCTGATTGCTTGTTATTGGTATATAGAAAGGCTACAAACTTTTGTAGGTTAATTTTGTAACCTGCCGCTTTACTGAAAGTGTTAATAATTTCTAGGAGTTTTCTGGTGGCATTTTTGACATCTCTTAGATATAATATCATGTCATCTGCAAAAAGGGATTATTTAATATTTACTTTTCCAATTATTACTCCTTTAATTTCCTGCTCTTGTCTTATTGCTCTTGCAAAAGTTTCAAGCACTATGTTAAAGAGAAGTGGAGATAGTGGACAGCCTTTTCTGGTTCCTGATTTCAATGAGAATGCTTCCAGTTTTTCTCCATTTAGAATGATGTTGGCTGTGGGTTTGTTATATATGGCTTTAATTACATTGAGGCATGTTCCCTCCAATCCAATTACCTCTAGGATGTTGAACATAAATGCATGTTGAATTTTGTCAAAGGCTTTCTCTGCATCTACTGAGATGACCATGTGTTTCTTGTCTTTGAGACCATTTATATGAGGGGTTATGATGTATAGCCATATATTCACTAATATGTTTTTCAATTTCAAGTTTTTATGAATCGAAAATTGAGATTTTTTTTTGGTCTTTTTGAGACAGCATTTCCCTTTAGCTCCAGCTGTCCTGGAACTTACTATGCAGACCATGTTGTCCTGAACTCACAGAGATCCACCTATCTCTGCCTCCTGAGTGCTGGGATCAATGGCTTGCACCACCACGCCTGGCTAAAAAATTGATATATTTTAATATGTTTCTCTTAGTGCTTCTCCTCATTTGATTCTTGCAGCATTTAAAATGAAAATTAATTACTAATATATATTTTAAAATATATTTTGCCTCATCTAAAATGGAAATGTATCTTTAAAAACTTAAATATTATTTCATTAGTTAAATAAAAAGGTCCCAAATTATCATCTTGAAAATACAATAATTATACATATCTTTCAGAGAGTTGTGGGGAGTGTTAGTAACAGTTGTTTTGGGCCATCTGAATAATGACACATTAAGAGTAGTGACAGTGGAGATTTCTATGGTAAAATATGAGGAGAGACTAGGGAATTCTTTCAATCAAATTAATAAAATGGCACATTAGAAGTCGCTTGTCTATAAGCCTGTCCCTCAAGAAATAGTTTCTAATTGTAGATATAAATTTGAAGGCAATGCTATACACTGCTTTCAAGGAGGAATGGAAACCTCTTCACCTATTAACAATGTCCTGTAAGAGAGTGGAATCTATAAATATGCAATGAGCCCTACCATTCCAGGCAGGCACTTTAAATGCTTGTAAAATGAACACATCACAAGAGAAGAGAAGTTGTAAGTCTTCATATATGTGAAATATACATATATGTATATATATGAATATTTTATAATGTTTATAATGAGCATTCCAAAACGGAAGCAATGAAGTTAACATGTGAAAGGGGAAAATATGACCAATAATTCGACACAATATGGTAGATTGAACACATCTGTGTACCTTCTCTCCTTATAAATTCCTCCAAAATATTAACTGTATTTTGAAAAACATAAAGATGAAAGAAAGAGAATAATTGTCGTTATTTGGCAGATGTTTATAGGCCAATGAGAACATGGCTGAGCACCAACTGGCCAACACAGCAATGCAAGCTGTAACATGAGTTGGAAGTGGTTAATGGGAGCTAAGAAGAGAGTAGGTGTGCACTTCAGAGCTCCAGGAAGGCTCAGCAGTAATAGGAAGTATACTGAAAGCAGGAAAACTGGACAGTGCCTGTGGAAGATGCTGTTTAGATGCCCTCCTATTCCGTGTAGCTCTTCCCTCATCCTGACAGAAGAGAAATCTTTTTTCTAATAGAAGGATGAACCTGAGCAGCACTGTGTTCTAGGGAAGCAGTAAGGAAACACCAGAAAGAAGTCAAAATATGTTGGAGTCTTCCTCTTTGAAGATTAAATCTCAGCATCTTTGGACCACTCAGCCTGGTGGTTAGGACTAGCTAGTCTTCCCAAGACTCAGACACCATGATTCTCTGGGGAATCTGATAAACTCAAGAATATGCTCACTGAGCTGGGCATGGTAGCACATGCTTTTAATCCCAGCACTCAGCACTTGGGGGGGAAGAAGCAGGTGGATCTCTGTGAGTTCAAGACAAGCTTGTCCCCATAGCATATCCAGGCCAGCTGTGGCTACAGAGAGACCCTGCCTCAAAAAACCAAAAAAAAAAAAAAAAAAAAAAAAGGGAATATCTGGATCCTCAAAGTGGAATAAAAGCAATAGTCCTGCATTTAATCCATACTGTGCTTTTCAGAGGATGGTCATTTTTCACAGGACTCATTCCACCAATCAGTGAACATTTACAGTTTTCACTGTAGAATTTTTAATGTGCTTGTTTAGATTTTTCCCTAGATATTTTTGAGGCTATTATGAATGTATTTCCATGAACTCTTTCTCCGATTGGTTGTTACTGGTATATAGAAAGGCTACTGTTTTTTTTTTTAATGGTTTTATAATTTATTTTATTTTTCAGTTTTATTTTATGTGTATGAGTGTATTGCTTATATATAGGTAAGTGCACCCATGTCATGTATTGGAGACAAGAACAGAAGAGGCCATCCAATCCCCTGGAACTGGAGCTACGGACAGTTAGCTGCCATGTGGGTGCTGGAATTCAAACCTGGGTCTTCTGCAAGAACAACCATTTTTCTTAACTGATGAGATATCTCTCCAGCCCAGTGAACTTGTTTTTTATCTTGATACTTTGCTAAAAGAATGATCATTTCTAGCAGTTTTCTGGTGGAATTTTTCAGCTCTTTTAGGTATAATATATCTGGAAATAATGAAAATCTGACCTCTTCTTTTCTGATTAGTGCCCCTTTAATTTCCTTTTCTTATCTTATTGTTCAAATAGTATATTGAAAAGGAGTGGGAATAGCCTTTTCTGGTTCCTTATTTTAATGGAAATGCTTTAAGTTTTTCATGAATGATGCAACTTTTGTAGGTTTATTGTTAATTATATTGATTTATATGCCAGTCAATCCAGTTTCCTCTTGGTCTTTTACCATGAACTCATGTAGGATTTTGTCAAAGTATTTTTTTCTGCATCTAGTGAGATCCTCATGTGATTTTGATGTATAATGTTTTGATTTATTATGTTTATTCACTTATGCATATTGAATCGGACCTGCATCTCTAGAATAAGTCAACTGGATCATGGTGGATGGTCATCTGTTTAAAGTGTATCTGTATGTGACTTTTGAATGTTTTGTTGAGAATTTTTGCATCTATGATCATTCAGGATGTGGGTCTATATTGTTCTCTCTCTCTCTCTCTCTCTCTCTCTGTGTGTGTGTGTGTATGTGTGTTTGTGTGTCATTATGTGGTTTTTGTATTAGAGTAATATTGGCTTCATAGGAGTTGAGAATTTCTCTCTCTTTTTGTATCTTTTTGAATAATGTAAATATAGGTTGTAAATCTTCTTTGAATGTCTGCTATAACCCTGTTGTGAATTCTTATGCACCAGGGCTTTGTTTTATTGTAAATACTTGGGAAATCAACCAATTCCAAATATATCATCTTAATTATATATGCAAAGTTTTATACAATGTGAAAAAAATGTAATCAAGAGGTCTCAAGTAGTTTCAGGGGGACAGTTTTCTTACATCATTCAGAAGTCTGTCTCATTGCTTCTTAGGCTAGAATTGCATGGGTTCACTTTAAATAATAAATACCCATCTAAGCATGTTATGAAATAATTGTAGTTCACTCAGGATTATGAACTTGTAAACCACTTTCTCAAACTTTTAAAACTGTTATTTATCTAAAGCAAAATATTCAACTCATTGCATATCATAATGAACATGTATAATTGTAAGCACAAACTTAAATGTACAAAACAGTTTATTTGGTTCTCTACATACTGTTACTGCTTTTCTGCCAATAGAACTCATAATAATCAAGTTTCCGCAAAATGTTGCACAAAGCAGCTTTGATTTCCTTATTTCTTAAACTGTATATTATAGGATTCATACATGGAGGCATCACAGAATAGAAAACAGATATTAAAAAGTCCAAGAGCTGTGGGGAATCAGGAACTGGTTTCAAATAGGCAGTGGCACCTGTGACAAAAAATGTGGTGACAACTATGAGATGGGGAATGCAGGTAGAAAAGGCTTTTGACCTCCTCTGTATCAAAGGAATTCTCAGGACTGTGTTGAAAATGCAGACATATGAAAACCCTATGGAAACTATGCAGAAAAACCCATATATGAGTCCAAAGATGACACTAATGTCAATGGTGACATGCATCTTTGAACAAGAAATCTTCAATATAGAAGGGACATCACAGAAGAACTGTGGCACTTTTCTGGAGCCACAGAAAGATAAAGAGAAGGAGCCATATGAATATAAGACCCCAAAGATACTTCCAAATAGCCAAGAAGCTGCCATCATCTGTACACAGACTTCCCTGTTCATGATGGCATCATAGTGTAGTGGGTGACAGATGGCCACATAGCGGTCATAAGACATGGCTGTGAGGAGGGAAGCCTCAGATGTTCCAAAGAAAATGACAAACAAAACCTGACACACACATCCTGGGAAAGAGATAGTGCTCCTGTGAGACAAAGAGTTGAGAATGAGCTCTGGGACTGTGACTGAAATGAGGCACATATCAAGGAATGACAAATTATTCAGAAAGAGGTACATGGGGGTGTGAAGACAATGATCCACTGCAATAAGCATGATGATGATAAGGTTCCCCATGAGGGACACCAAGTAAATCAGCAGAAATAGGAAACCCTCTATCACCTGGAGCTGCTTGCTGTCAGAGAATTCCATAAGGAAGAAGTCTGTCACTATTGTGTGGTTTGTCATGTCATCTGCTGTTTACCTTCTGTGAGACAAAGGGAAGAGATGGGAAAGAAGCTCATGTTGAGTCTCTCTTTTAGTAATAATTTAATTTGTATAACATGCAACTACTAGGATATTCCTATAATACATTAACAGATTTACTCTCCTCCTAAATACATGTATGTTCTTCATGTATGGCAATGATAGTAACAGGGACAGATTTAGAAAGAAAATTTCAAGCAGTTTTAGCGGACTCAACATGTGTTTTAAAAAGGTTTTAAAAAATTTATCCTGGATTAAAATTACACATGAATATCTTTCTACCCATAGATTATTCAAGTTCTTGGCTCCCATAAAGAAGGTTCTTTGTGCAAGGGACAGTGATTAATGCAAAAACTCACAATGGGACAAAGTGCAGAGAATAAGTGTTAGTGGAGTATTCAGCCACAAATGGGACTTCTTGGTCATGCCCACTCCCCAATACTGTGTTTGCCTGTGCAAGATCAAACTAATAAGCATTCCAGCATGTAGTGGGAAAAATTTCATGAACTCCTGCCCCTAACTGAGGAGCTATGGACACTTGATGGCGTCTGGAGAAAAGACAATGAGATTTTTAGCGATGTGTTTTTGGTAGGTCATCATCCATGGTCCAGTGAATGATCCCACACCCAGGAGTATATGGAAAGCACAAATAGGAGTTTATTGGTTATTTAAAAAAAAACAGGATATGATGAATCTGGGGAAAGGGAGTGGAATTGGGAGAATTTTGATATAAGACTCAGGGTGAATATGATCAAAATACATTGTATGGAATTTCAAATAATTAAAAATTAAAAATAACAAATGTTTCTTTAGATACAAATTTCAAATAATCTAATTTAGTAATTTTTTATTGTATAACACTGTAAAGTGCATTACAGAATGTAACAATGTACAGTGTATATCTGAAATATACTGTAAATTTTAATTTTTTAAATCCAGAATTCAAGTGAACATTCAAAGAAAATTTGGATTGTGCATAATCATCTCCTGCTTGAAAGCTCTTTCATATAAAACAGACTTCTCTGCATCTACATGACTGTAAATCACCCTCCCCACTTCCATTTCTAACATTTTCTGAAGCCCCCGAATTCAGACTTACTTTATAGGATTCAAAATGACATTGTTCAAACTCCTCAGGCCATAGTGTGATTCAGAAACTCACTTTCTGAGTTTATATAAGGTCTTCATGTTTTTAATGAGGCAAAAATAATTTTCAATGGTTATGCTTCACCCTCCAGGGAAAGCAATGGATTGCAGATGAAATGCAATTATCATGGGGCTGTGACTCTGTCCTTCATGAAGAATTACTCACCTAGGACATTAGTAGTATGCAGCATGGCCCCAAGCCTCATGCCCCACACCCTGCACTCATGCTCTGGCTTTTCCTCGAGTTTGTCAGTGAAAGTTTTACTTTGCCTCCTGGCCAGAGATACACAAGACAGTGTCCAGTGCACTTGGTGTGCTGTTCTATTATAATCCAAAGAAACACTGACCTGTTTAAAGTGTAGGTAGAAGGTTGAAATTACATGTGCTTTCTGGGTGTCAATGAATTTAGAGTTGATAACTTTTGTCTTCTAGCCATATAGTGGTTATGACTGACTTCCTCTGAGGTTAGAAAGCCTGCACTGGGATCTCAAATATCTTTCAAAATGCAGATGTATCTGAGGTAACACACAGAGTTTTTACCTTTCCTTATATAATATTCCTAAAACTTTACATAAATACAAGCATAGCAGACATAACTTCTACTACAAAAGTTATCATTCAAGTTTTCTTGGCATAGCATCATTCAAAAGTGTAAAAATCCATCAGAATAGGGGCTATCCAAGGCATAATTCTTTCTAATAATGGATTTACTTCATAAAGTTAAATAGAAAATATAAGTTAAATCCAGAAATAATTAAATAATGTTTCTGAAAAAGATAATTTTCAGCCAAATTGAAGAGGCACCATCATTGCAGTAGGCCCATTCTAATTCCCTGGCTCTCACAGGTACTCCAAGTTGAAAACACCAACTAAAGAGTCAAAATAAGGATCAACATATGAAAGACAACATGTGATCTTTGTCTTTCTGTGTCTTGGTTACCTCTATACTTTTTGAGTTCCATCTACTTTCCTGTGATGTATATAATGTCATTTTTCTTTCATCGCTCAATAAAATTCCATTGACTCTGTGCCTGACGTTTTCATAATCAATTTGTCAGTTGATGCACATCTAGGTTGATTTTATTCCCTAGGTTTTGTGAACAGACCAGCACTGAACATGTTTCATCAGGTATCTCTGTAGAAGATCATGAATCCTTTTGTGTAAATACACCAGAGTAATGTAACTGGGTCAAAAGGCAGTTTTATATCTAGATTTTAGAGAAACTACCAGGTTGATTACATAGTTGCCACACTATTTTACACTCAATGGCCCCATAAGATTAACTAGTCAAAAAAATAAAATCTCTAGTCTGTGAGAATACACACCTGTACAGTTTCACTGGTAAATCATCTGGTCATAGGACCACCCTTACCAAGGCAGTTTCACCTTAAGTTGTGCTAAAGAGATGGAGAGAGGATTCAACAACCCAGTTCCCATATCCTGTTTCTCTTTCTTTTTGTAGGTACAGGCCCACTTCTCTTGGCACCACAGACCTTGGGACTACACTCTTGGCCCAGATTCTCCACTGCTTCCTGAATTTTTGCACCCAGACTAACTGATTCTTCAGTCTGGTCCCCAAGAGCCCTTGAAGCCTGCCCTATCCCCAAGTTGCTTTTGCACAACTGAGACCAGGCTTCATTTCTGGCTATCCTACCCCCAATCTGCCTGGGATTCCTGAGGCCAGCGTCCTTATATGGTATGTTCAAATCTTCCCAATGCACTTAGACCCCCACAATCTGATTTAACTTCCCAGCTCCCACATCCCATTTCTCCTACTTCTACTTCTCTGCACCCCAGATTTCTGGACTACACTCTTGTCCCAGATTCCCCACTGTTACCCAATCCTTTACACCCAGACCAACCCAATTCTTCATTCGAGCTTTCCAGAACCCTCACAGCCTTCCCCAACTCCCAATTTGCCTTTTGCTACCCAAGAACAGCCTTCTTCCTCAGCTGTCCCCATCTGCAAACTGCCTGGGATTCCTGAGACCAGCCTCCTTCCCTGACTGCTGGAGAGTCCTACATAGCAAGCCTCCCAAATTGTACTGAGCCTGCTGACTACAATGACCTAGACCTTATGAGGTAGCCTGAGTGCATCTGATCCTCATCTGACTTGAGCCTCTGTGGGAACTCCAGAGAAGAGGGCCTATAGCCATCTGGCCCTTTAAATATAAAATCAAAAGAGAGAAACTGAAGCTTAGGCCAACGAACTTTTCATATGCAATAAGAAAACAACAGAGCACATAAATATACAAACAGAAACACACCTAAACTCAACAATGGGAGGCTTGAGTTGCACACAAGAATCAGAAACTAAAAACGAAATCCACACGCCAAAGTCACAATGAACAAATAATAACATGAAAAAATCAAATAATATATCACCACCAAGAACCTACAGTCTTAAAGAGGAAGTGTACAATGCACACTCTCTAGAGATAACACAGGACATGGAATTCAAAAGAATAATAAACATGATAAGTGAAGTCAGTGAATTTAAAGAACAAAGAAGAACTCAAATCAAAGAAATGAAAGAAGATAGGGATAAACATCTGAGTCAATGCAGAAAAGAGAAATATTGAAGAATACTCAGACTGCAATGAAGAAGGAAGGGAAACACTCAATAAGCCAATTGAAAATGACAGAAGAAAGTCTCACTAATAGAATGAATGAAATGGAAAATATACTATCAAGACAGGAAGATGTCAGATTAGACCACTCAAGCAAAGATTATGAACAATTTAACAAAACATAGGAATTGGGACTAGAGAGATGGCTCAGCAGTTAAGAGCATTCCATGCTCTTACAGAAGATCAGGGTTTGATTCCCAACACTTACATGACAGCTGACAACTGTCTGTAATTCTAGTTCCAGGGGTTCTGACTCCTCTTCTGACCTCCGCAGGCACTGCATGGCATGGGTACACTTATACATATGCAGGCAATACACTCATACACATAAAATAAAAATAATAAAATAAAAAAGGAAACGCAGGAATCTAATATGGATGAAATGTATGAAAACATAAAAAGAGGTTTATGCATCATAAGCATAGAGGAAAGAGAAGAATCTCGGGATAATGGTATGGACCAGGTCTTCCACAGGATCATAGAAAAAAATTTCCCAAAATTAAAGAAGGACTTCCACATACAAATACAAGCACACCAAATAGGACCAGAAAAGAAACTCTCCATGGCATATCATAATAAAAACACTAAATATACAGAAGGAAGAGAGAATACTGAAAGCTGCAAAAGAAAAACAAGTCACATATAAAGGAAAATCCATCAGAATTTCAGCTGACTGCTCAGTGGAAACTATGAGAGTCAGAAGAGCCTGGTCCATAATCTTCCCAGTTCTAAATAACCACAGATGCCAACCCAGAATACTGAACCCAAGAAAAAAGTCTATTACAGCTGAAGAAGAAAGAAAAATCTTCTATGACATAGTGTGAAAGAATTCTTGTCCACAAAACGAGGCTTCAGAGAATTCTTGAAGCAATATAAAGAGCTGAAGAGTATTGACTATACCCAAGGGATAACAAAAAGAAACTAAATTAAGGTATAACGGTGGAAATGCACAGTTAGACCAAGAAATCAAAATGATAGGAATCAATACACATCTTTCATTAATAAATTCAAATATCAATGGACTGAACTCCCCACTCAAAAGACACAGGCTACTTGAATGGATTAAGAAACAAAATCCATGTTTTTGTTGTCTGAAAGAACCCATCTCACTTTCAAGAACAGGCACTACCTTAAGTTGAAAGGATGGAAAAAAACATTCCAAGCAAAGGGTACTAAGAAAAAGAGGAATCTTGGAAGTTTATACC